GCTTATTTTTCTAAATCACTATTCCTTTAACAAATTAGTATTACGTTTTCAATATCGATATTCTATCCCACACCCTATGCCCTCGTGCAAATATTACACTGCAGTTGTGGCCTAAATGTCTAATCAGTGGCACCAATCCCCTCAAGATTGTATATACGTCTTGCCAACGAGTTCCAACTAGCATGAAACTTAGGTTCAAGGTTTCCTGTCGACAACATTCAACTACCGAGCTCATGCTACACCCATTCCGAGTGACCATCTGTCTCAATATAAATATTGATTGATGTGAGTTGTGTGAATAACTTTTTCACTAGGATCAGGAATATAATATATAGTATTAATTGGAGTTCTTAAGTGATATCGATCTCAATGGTGGTGTATTTAAACCATGATATGACGAGGTCGATTAATATAATAATAGTTTAGTGGCCCGAGATCTGACTCCATTATTATCGTATGAATGATTGCTGTCGAAATGTTCATAACAATCCCCGTATATAATTATCAACTTAATCCGCGTTAGTGAGTAACGGAATTAAATAAGTCAAATACGAAAATGGATGTTTGAATACACATATTTTGTACACTCATTGATCTGGATAGACAATCAGAGGGACCAAGTGAAGAGAAGAGAGCAAGGTAAAATAGTGTGCAGTGGAGGAGGCGTGTGAGCCAACTCCATTTGATCAAACGTTAATCAATATTTATAGTCACAGAAATAAGCTACAGACATGTGGCGAGTAGGATAAGATGCACATACATACGCTTACATAAAAACAGTCAAGATTGATAAGTGAGTAATTAACAAGATCAAAACGTGACTCAAGAAAAATGGATAAATTGGCCTGTCCAGAATCTAGACTAAGTTATGTGGGCTTAGCGTAGTAACGACCAATACAATGGGAACGGATTCGCACTGATAACACGATTCAAGACAAACAAAACCACTCCCCTTCCCTAGGTACCTCATAACTCACTGATCCGTAGAGTATCAAATAACACCATGTGAAGATTTACCATTTAGTAAATATCTCACTTTTTATATACACTTTTAAGGAAACAAAAAAACAAGTGATTGAAGAATTTTCACTAAATAACCAAGCGAGAGAATAAATTATCTAATATGGTTATTTCTACGCCGTAGCAGCACTGATCAAAATTTCTATCTACGTAAACTTCGTTAGTTATGACGGCTGAAGCAACTTCGAGAATACCTAGAGTATTAAGTGGATCCACTAGTTATTTTTCCACATTCCCGAAATAGATATAACAGAAAAATCCTGATACATAACTGTCACAACTGTAAAATGCATAATCATACATTCACAAATGTCCATCTGAGTTTTCCTTTGACAGAACCAGGTCTGTTGAACACTCTATACCGATTAAAGAAGATATCTAAGTTTACAAAGAATGATCGACTTCATTATCACTTTAAGTGACAACTTTCTAAAAACCTTTAATAAGGCAATAGGACTGATTGATACCGGACCCTTCGATTCATACAGTCCAGTATCTCCTCAAAAGCAAGAGATTAAAAGTATAAAAGCATCTTGTACAACCGTTATTTAATGAAATTGAAGGTATCTTATCGTCAGGATATTTCTAGACATATTTGTAGAGAATGATTATCACTTTCCTAGGTTCTATAATATTTCTGGCCTATAGTATAAGAAGTGTAAACTCACGTGAAGTATCAAATCTATTCACATGGGCACTCTAATGGTCAATGGCTTTTTCCTGATTTTATTACTATGAGATAAATAATACCTTAGTAAATTGTACTCGATATGTTACTGATATGAAAACTCCTCTAATACAATGCATACAAGAATTTCAAATACAAAACATGATATATTTGCAATCGTTTTAAAAAATATACAGTTAAATTGAACTCACTTTTTACATATTTTTGTCATATAGATCAAGTGAGTCAGAATCTCAATGCTCATTTTCATATGACCACAAGATTTATTCACCTGAAATATATGCACGTGATTCTACCAAAAGAATGAATCATGAAAATACAGATTTATGGATTTTAAAATCAACTGGATCATCTACATCTTCAGCTGCTCTTTCTCCGACCAATCCTCAAAATTTCAAATCCAATGTGCATTCTGATTCACAAAAACCAATGGAAGCGAGTATCAGTGATCCTTCTTTAAGTACTGACAATTTAAATAATATTCAGTCTAAAATACCTCCACCATTTTCATCTCCATCTCATCAGTCACGGCTAGCTGCGAAACAACGTTTCTGTCTAGAACCTCCTAAACCTTTAACAATTGATCCTTTACGATTCATTGGTTCAAGGAACCAAGAACGAACGCTCATATGTGCATTGGATGATTGTTCTGAAGCTGTAGAACCTATTAAAAGCCCAATCATATCTACAGCAAACGTATGGCCGATATGTAACACAGCAGAACTCAAATCAGTAGACTTGCCATCCAAAGTTTTATATGAAGAACCTCTAACTCAATCTCCATATGAATGCAATAGAGTCACAACAGATTATGAAAATAGTACTTATGAAAGTGACTCAGGAGATTGGCTTGACAGTGACGCGTGTAAATACACCAAAATTAAAGGAGTGCCATTAGCTACTCCTGAGGATGTTAAAGATGCAGAATCTTCAAGTATCTTTAATGAACCACATTTTTACGAAACAATTACATCAAGGCACCTCAATCGCTCCTCATCGTTACATTGCCGTCTTCCAAGTGATTATCAATTTGTGGATATAACTAGGAAGAAAAAGTCTAGTGTCCGAATAAATAGTTGGAATTCCGATGCATCAATTTCTAATCCTCCATCAATTATTCAAACATCAATGAGTTCACCTTTAATTCGATCTACTGAACATCTTAGCTGGGCTAGAATTAAACAGATTACTGTTAAAGAAGAGTTCGAAACTACACAAATCTCAAAATCATCCAATCTAGCTAAGTTGTATGAAAAACAAAAACATGTATGCAGTGAATTAGACGATAGATATGAACGGGAATATTTCATTGACCCAAAGATACTTGTTAAAAGTCTCAGTAAGTGGGCCCTATTCGAAAATGATAATCAAGATACATCTAGTACAAGTAGTGCAGACCTTACTTCACAACCAATAATTCTACCGAAACCTGACAGTATTCAGCAATCTAATGGAAAACTTTACGACATTAAAATAACAAATACTCGAGACGATCGTTCAAATCGAAGTTTGATAAAATCTCATAAAACAACCAATTTCATCCGATCTCATCAAAACAGAGAATCTAGATCTTTAGATAGAATGAATTCAAACCCTTTAAAGATAGTATATCAAACAAAGCAAATTGACAATACAATATATCCTCATGTCGTTCCTGTTATGTCTGAAAGTCCCGTTATCTTGAAGACTTCTCTGGAGGAAACAATCAGAAGCAATCCTAAGTCAGTATCTAGGAGACGATCTACAGTAAGTCCAGATAGTGAAGGCGTATATGTGTTTCGAATTGTTGGGGAACCAGGAACATCCAACTTAAAACATGTATTCAAACAAACACCCACCAACTTGAATATTCAGAAGTATGTAAGTGAGAAAACAATTATTATGGGCAGTGACACAGGTGGGAGTGATAGAGTTTTGGTTTGACTCATTTAAGATTAAAGGTAAGTATGTATTGTGTTTGAGGATAGCATATCAATAAGCATTCGAATTATCATAAAATTTAGCTTGTAATTATCTAATCATAAAATAGGTATGGGTCATATGAATCAAGAAGAGGTCACTAGTAACTATATATTTGTCCGCAAATTGATCTAATGTTCCATTTGTTTTAATACCTGATACCTTGAATTGCAATGAATGACTTTGATTATAAGCTACATTTCAAGGTAGAGAACATGGTAAATTCTGCTAGTCTGGTTTAAGTTCAAGTTTTTTTTGGTAGGCGGTTCGGACTATTATTTAGTATCACATCAACTGTTCTCATATTTTTGTAAGAAATTGTGGAGTAAAGTAATAGCCGGATCGTCAACTTTGGCTAATGTGAATGTTGAGCGCATCCTCAGACGCCGGTGTTTTCGTCGCACTGAAAGCTGATTCTCAGGTCTAGCTGAAGATTTATTGAGTAATAACGAAGCTATATTTAGTCATATAGGAAAAGCTTACCACTACTTAGTGCTCATTAATATTTTTTCCTATAGGCCTGGAAGTGGATGAGATGCTCCTAAAGTTCACTTTGTGCAACACTGATATTCTCAGCATAAATAGTTGTAACTTAATTGGATTAAACACTGCGTCAGGTTAAAGACACACCTATTCACTAGACCAGTGTACAACTTAAATAACTTATCACAAACTTGACATCGTTTAATAACTTATTGACAACCGAAGTCAATATAGTATAGAAGAAAACTAAAGTGAAGTGGGTTAAGACGTACCGATGATCGTCATTAAAAATAAGAGAAACGCACATTAATTATCTGAATACCATGTTCACTATGAGACGGGTTTGCAGACGAACGGAAACTCCAAATACTGACTACTACCTCTAAGTGAGAATTACTTTGTATGACGTCTTAACGGTCAACTATATTCAGGACTTTGGTACCATTCATTTTACGATTTTTCGATATTTCTTTTTATATTTTCAGGACATCCCGGTCTTGAACTTCGAACTATGCTTTCAACATAAATGAACCTGAGCGCTTTCTAAATACTAGTCCAAGATTTCCGGACCGACATATATTTCACAATAGGAATTTTTCATCAGGGTTCTTGTCCCTGTTTGGCTATATATATAATCAGGCACTTCCGGACCCAGACCTTCATGTTTAAAATATGTGGTGTTATTACAACTGATACCATTTCTTTCTTTTTTCTATTATTGAGTGTAATTCTTTTACGCAAGTGCATATTATATGACAGACTAAATAATCTTTGCAGAATTTCTTCTGCTTATTTATAATTTTACTCAATCTCCGACCATATATTGCGTTTTTTCAGTAAAATAATCTATGATTTATAAGTTGCTTTTATTCCCACATATTGGTTAGTAATAAACTGAATATACTCAGATTATGTGTAGGATGTGAAGCTGGTTGTTTGTCAGTTGTTTCAACTTTTTTATGAGGATGATAAATTTTAAAAACGGAATGAAGTTTGTGAAGTACTAAAGAAATAACAGGTTTATTATTTTCTGAAAAGGATAATCGAAAACTATGTACAACGAACGAAATGTACATGGAATTGGTAAATGTACAGGCGTTATGAAAAAATACATGAAATCTCACATTTAGTAGAGAAAAAGAATCTGGGACTAACATCACATTTCATACAATATTACGGTGTGTGTAAATATATATACATAGAACCCCAGATGCCTAGCGGAGTAAGCTACTGCGAAAAGTCATAATGTACAAAGATTTTATGATACAAGTTAGGTTGGGAACGTTTTAGGAAAATTAGCCAACTAATAGTTAAATCATATTACAATCAGAAATCAAGTCTATGCAAAAATAAAAATAAGAAACAAAGAAAAGACTCTTAAGGCTGAGAGCGCCAATACGTCCTATAGTAAGTACGTGTACGACGAAGCCTCGGTGTACGAGAAAGTATGACCTGTATGTCTCTGAGAGTTGCTCGATGTGCCCTGAGACTGAGTGCTAATGAAAATCCAGATGTATTTGGCATGTTATCACCAGTCCCACCGACACCGGAGACCAACGAGTTTGAATTTGCCGGCAAAGCTTCTAAATTGAGTTGCGTTAGATTTGGTCCTGATGTTACCAAACCTAGTCGACTGGCACTCACAATAGAAAGGCGATTAGCAGTAGCAGCAGGTAGGGAACTCACCAAATTTGCCACACCATCTCTTGTTGGAAGAGAGGCTCCCAAAATATCTGTTGAAATGGGGTTGCCCATTTCATCTAAAGTATCTAGACGACGCTTGCGTTGTGGGCCGATAGCGTGAAGAGCTGTAAGATTGGCTTGATGTTGCTTTTCACGTTCATAATCTTCAGACGCTATCCGTCGAGCCATTTCCCTCATCTGCATTTGATGAGGATCTTCATTTCGAGAACGCGACTGAAAATGGAAAAGTGCAAAAATAGTGATTTATTTTATGTTTTGAAAGGTGAAAACATTAAGTCAACCAATGAGGACAAAAAGCGTAAAATAGAGACTCCAGCACAATTCATTTTACCAATATTAGCTGACGTTACGCTGCAAAGGGCTTATCTACAAGACACCTATAATATGTAAAAACAGGTCAGTATTCGGCAAGTAAATGAAGTTAAATAAGATTACGGGATATTTCTAAGATATGTACTTTGAAACTTACTTTTGCAGCCTTCAAAATTAGATCCTTTTCTAACTCCGATTGCCTCATTCGGTCATGCTCATCCAACTTCTGAAGAAACCTCAACTGTTCACGCGTGTGGTCTGTTTGAACCAAACGAGAATCCTCTCCTAAACGATCGAGACGATGTGATACTACAATCCTCAACTTTGATAAAATATTTTTGATGAATATTTGCAAACCGTGGGCGAGACACGCGATAGATTCTTCTGTTAATGTTTTTATGCCATGAGTTTCTAATATTTCCTTAACTTTTTCTGATGGGAAAAATGGATTGTCACGTGTAGGTGACATAGCGGGGTGACGGATATCGTCGCTCAAAAACGAGAGGTCATTCTGTTTTCGGTCCACACCTTCTATTAACACCGTCGATCCATTCAAGGATAGGACATTGGAGCCTACTTTGTTGTGAACAGCGGGTAGAATTCCAGGAGAATAAGTGTTAGCATATCCAGATTTAGCACGAATTACAGGGGGTACGGATGCAGAAACACCAGCAACTGATTTTATCGACGCTAAGTTGATACCCAATGCTGTGGAAGTGGATGAAGCAATAATTGGTCGCAGGTTTTGGTAGTTCGAACGCGTACCGTTAATAGTTGATGTGAAACGTGTCGAAACCACTGTTGCGGCGGTTGCATTAGATACGATAGACGCTGAAGATGAAACACTAAAAGATTGAGCCAAACGATATTTTGCACCGGTGTTAGAACTTGAGGCTGCATCAAAGTTTACGACAGACGTAATGCATGTCCGGGGAGGAGCAGGAGCCAATAGTGGGGGTTGTGTCCGAGGTGTTGGAACAGTAACAGGACTAGTTGGAATAGCTGGTGACGAAACTGATGACATGAGTGTGCCTACTATGCGAGGAGTTGTATTCGTCGGCAGAGTAATGCGAGGGCCAGCGGGTACTGTTGAAGAAACTAGTGTTGTAGAAACTGCAGCATTAGAACGGGGCTGAAGACCTAGGGTAGGTAATGTTGTTACGATCGAAACAGGGACTGCTGTGGGTACACCTGTGAAGATATCTTTTGGGGGAGGTTGTATGTTTGGGAGACGACAGACACCATTAGCTAGATCTCTCCTAAGTAAATCTATGTTGTCCTTTATGAATGGGGCGAGGTCCATACCAGGATTGGCACTTTTAAGATTGCTACGCAGTTGTGCACTGAATGAACTGGCATCAAGTTCTCCATTCTATATAAACAAAGTGAATGGTAAAAACTTGTGACACATGAGGTCGAAAGTAATAATGAAAAGACCGATTGATAAAACAGCGGAGATGTCCGTCCACAGAACTGAATACGGAATCATAAATGAATATTTATCAAAATACAATATCACTGCTTAAATGACTGAAGTGAAGGTAGTAGTGATCTACTGTTTAGAAAAAAATTAACTTCCGGTTACTAAATTGTAGGTTTACCTATTTTGATTAAGGTAACCGGATAGTTGAAATAGCCCTACTATCCAATGTAGTTCAAAATTGAGTATCTGAAGTCGAGTTACATTTCGCTTGTCAAAACAATGTAATGTAAGGGATATTTGAACGTTAAATAATAGATCACTGTTAATATCTAAAGAAAGGACATCATAAATATTTTGGGGTTATAAAAGTTATCTCAATTTGAATATGTCTAGCATAGCTAATGAGTATGTGTGATTCTAAGACAAAAAATCTCTCGCTGAAGTATGTAGAACTTCGAAACGGAATGTAACGACAGATATACAGACTACACGTTCAAATCTTACTCCAGCTGCCGTAGTTTAGGGATTCGGAGAATATTGTTAACCCTCATACAATTTACATGCTACACAGTTTAGAAACGAAACCTGTTCACGATCAATGGATTGTAAAATATACAAAATATGGTGTTAAGGTAAAGTGATTTTAGAATTTATGTAGCTAAAAACTCACCACTAATGCTTGAATTAGCGTTGCTACTGAGCTATGAGTGCTAGCTGAGACATTCTTTGATAGTTCTAACAATTGGTTAAAAAATCCCACCAATTTAGTTGAGGAACCCGACTGAGATGTGACAACTCCTGATTATAAAAATAAATATTAGAAAATACCTCTTCAAAAAGTTTTTAAGCAGTCAAACAAACTGAAGACATTGGAAAAAAGGATTTGGCCACTTATTTGAAGCTTCAAACTTCATAATAACTTGTCCCTAGAAGTCCCAATGTTTCATACTAGTCAGCTAGGTGTTATGACTAAAAGGGGTGAATTTTACATCCTCACTCCGTTGCTTCAGGATTGGCCTGCGTCAACACCCGAACTAAGAATATGGAGTGAAGCAGTCGGATGCGTTGAGTCATGATCTCAATTATTGAAACTTCACTTATCTTAGAAGTCTGATCAGCCCTAAGGGGTCGGTGTCTGGTGAAACCTTTGCATAGATTCAAAAGACTCATTTGGCTTTCGACAACTTACGTCACCTATGACGAAAGCGAGATATCCGTCTATCAATAAAAGGACGAGTATAGTGTACAGCAGTTCATTCTGTTCTACTTTACGGCTGCAAAACGTGGCCATTAAGAGTAGAAGATACTCGCAAGTTACTAATATTTGATCACAAATGTCTTAGAAATACTGCTAGCATCTGCTGGGATCACCGGGTAAGTAATAGTGAGGTTAGATACAAGGTATCAGGAAATGATGGTAAATCAGATGATAAGGTTGTGAATCTTCATCAACTGAGATGGTTGGACCACGTGTTTCGTATGCCTGAACATTGATTACCGCGACGTGCAATGCTGATTAGTGTTGGGGATGGTTGGAAGAAAGTTAGGGGTGGCCAAACCAAAACGTGGAATCAGTGCTTGAAGTCACTAACCCCTAGTCTGAGCCATATCGGGAGATGCAGACTACTTGGTTGGGGTTCGCGTGACTATAGTGACCAATGGTTGGAGACTCTATGTGACATGACTGAGAATCGATCACAATGGCGTGGGTGTGGTGTATACACTCTTTGTCTGCTCTTAAACCGTGAGATTCAAATTACTTTAGACCTTTCTTTCTGATTCTTTCTTCCTGTATTATTTCGTTGTACGAAATCCTTCTTTTATATATTACTACCACTGACGTAACTGCTTCTATCAATTTGGTTTTCATCTTGTTGTGCTAATGAGGTGTGGCAAGTTGGGCCGATGCATGTATGTGCCTGGTCCTACTGAGTGACTGACCCCATTCTGTCACATACCACCAACTGGACCGTATGAGGAAGGTATCCACCCAATATAGGATTACTTGGTCCTGAAAATTCCACATTACTAATGCCTTATATATTAATGGTTACAAGGGTATATTTAAAAAACTGACAATCCAAATTTGAAAATGAAAGCTCAATAATGTCATTTCTTGAGGTTTAGGTTTAAACTCCAAGGCCAACTGAATCGTTAGAATACATCTGGGTCACTACCTGAGGTTTAGCATCAAGTCCTCTAAGGTCTTTAACAACGGGATATGATTATTTTGTGAGGGCTCCAAGTAATAAGTCTACCCTTTATGGAATGACTCGTCAGAGGTCAATAGTTTCATGAACCGATGTCTTGATTGGGCCAACTTCCTGACAAGCTTGTTTGGGTTTCATCGACTTCACTTTTATCTCATGTGGAGTGTTCGTCTGTCTACTAGGGTCAAAGAAGGTTTACTGCATAGCGGTTTATTTATAATTACGTTACTGTTGTAAAGCGTGATCAGAAGTGCTATCTGTCGATTCATTATGAATCGCCAGTTAGTGTCCTATGAGTGGTGTAACTTAGTGGATTGATAAGTTATCAAATGTGGGTTAGAAGAGAAGAGATTACTTTCTGGTTTACATTTCTTTTATATCCTACATGGAAGTGAGAGGAACTCAAGTTACTAAAAAAAAAAACTCTGAGCTGCTAATAAATTTCCAAAAATGACAACAAAGGTTTCGAATTTTAACTAGATCAAATGAATATTTCAAGTGCTTTGGTAGTTTATGAAAAGCTGATCCAAATATATAAATAAAATGGAACTTACTTGGCATGACAGGAGTGGTGGCAAGTACACCATTTGGTTGGAGTACAGTTTGTCCAACCGCCAAACTCCTAACTTGCATCACACTCGGAGCACTCGGAAGGACATTATTAGTTATCCCAGATTTAGGAAGCAAGTACACCTGGTTAACCATGGGTGGTCGGGGGACCTTTTTAAGATAAAATTATGCAAAGAAGTCTTGTAGAAATGTACCGCCGGGATTAAACTATGTATGAAAAGTTATTTTTCAAATTTAAATGGAATTTTTAGAGAGAAAATAATGGGTTATAACTATCCTTTCTGCATATTGATATGGGAAGGTCTCACAATGTGTGGACAACGATATCAAAAAGGTGATCTCATGAGTTGTTACAGAAGAACAGCATTTGTTAACTTGTTCAAAGTCATCTGGCCTCTGGGAAGATGAAGGTCAACAGATAGAAATACACCGGTACATGGAAAGCAACAACTGCCACTGACACTAATCTTATTTCCTACTAGCGAGTTACCAAGCTATCATACCTCAGTTGATTAACTCAATTTGTACCTGTAATACCCAAAGGGGCTTAATTGTCAAATGAAACAGCTACTAATCAGTTTCATTTTCCAGACTCCATCAACTTTGAGCAATCAAGTGACATCACTAGCCATGATACAAAAAGTGGGTCGAAGTCAATTACACGGATATGGGCTTGGTTACTAAGTCGTAGTGTCCAAATATCGAAAGTTGGTAAACCTAATTAAAATATGCTACACTGAGCTGACAAAGTCAACAATTCAGTAAAAAATACGTCGTCTACTGATCTTAATGCTTTTATTGAATTGTCCCGTGAATAAAGTATAGCAAGTCGGACCAAAGCATGAATTTACAAATCTCCAAGACGTTTTATCTCATGTGTTCTGAGGAATAATACAGTATTCTAGCTATCTTAATTATAAGTCTTTATTCAGCTACTGCACTATATTTCAATTCAGAAAAGTGAGTAAATTTGTTTATTCTTAAGTACCAACATCTAAGTAAGTGGTGTTAAGATTAGGTTGGCTGACAAGCTTAATACATCGGATCACCTGCGTCTTCCGAACTTCTTATGTTATCTTGTTCCGTGTACCAAAGTATAATGATTATGATTAAGGGAAGAAGTGAACCCCAAATTCACCAAGTATCTAACCGGCGACTGCATAGAAGCTGGATTATAGGGAAGTGGGCTAGCAGTTGCGTCGATGAATTAGGAAAAATCAATTGTAGTGGGTTAGATAATAATTAATTCGCCAATTACAAGGAAGATTGTTTGGGTTGAATTATTTTCTTATTTGATCATATGTACAAATATTTGTGAATTTCCTTCGTGATCTTCAGTAATTGTAACCGATAATTTACTGTGTTGAGTCTTGTACTATTTTAATACAATTAAAGGACATCGTTTTGTACCACACAGTCTACAGATAATTATGAAAAATCATATGATTTTTACTCAGGGAAATTCGATTCTATGCTTTTATTGTCTTTAACACTGCAACTGTGTTAAGCATTCCTCTAAGCGCACAATAACAGATTGGCCTCGAAAACAGCAAGTGAAAAAAGGTTGAGAATGTAATGAGATTACAATCATACGACGCAATGAATTATAAACTGTAGTATCCCATTAGCACTGATGGCTTAGTGATAATATACGGATGCTCAGCACTTCATTGATCGGCACCAAAAAGATCTGAATGGACTTTACATTACCTAGCAATATCAAGTACACATAAGCAATAAAATTTCATTCAATCCCTAATGCTGCAACTCAAAACATAGCTTAAGTGTTACTAGCGTACCATCAGTCATGATGACAAAAGACAGACTGCTGGAAACTTATCAAAAGCCCAGTCGCAAAACATACCAACTACCTACAACCGGATGTTTGCCACCTCCTAACCCAGAGGAATCAAAGAATTTATTTTATCTACATTTTTACTTATCCTTAGTTTAATTTGACCAAAGGGTGAGACTACAAGTTATGGACGAATCAATCAAATTTAAGATAGCAGGTCTTGGATTTGGCGAGAAATTCATTTACTCATTTGGTTAAATACCATATTGACATTATAGCTTATGTCATTACGTCATGGGAACATCAAATTCAACTAAATCACAATGCTAATTCCTCACACTAATATATAACTCTCATTTAACCCTGGTAAGTAGGTGAACATTCCAAAGTCATTTTAGTGTTGCTCAAATGTCGTCCATAAATTATAGTTTTACCGATCAAAGCAGTAGGAAGAATCATGCTACGAACTAAGTACTGCTAAAATATCCAGAACAGGATGTGATGAGTCCGAACCCTGAAATCTAAGAATCAAAACACGTCTATTATTGAGGCACTAATATTTTTCGATAACCGTTGAGCAATTACAACTATTACATCAGATGCCTTACAATTATAAGTACTAGGAAACCTCAGATTAAATAATGGGGGTCCCGAAACTGAGGAACTCATCGAATTAGCACTGGAGGTTTGTAGCTGTTTGCTTTCCAAAAAATGTTTAGTTGGCCAGCATCTTAACTATATAATTAAAAAGCCTGTGTTACGTAGAGAAATTATCCTAAATTATCCCCAAACAAGATCACCAGTTTTTAATGGATAGGATATCAGTCTACGAATCCTTGTTTAAAATTTACTTATTATTAATAACCTAATATCATTTTATTGGGGTTTATAAAATAACATTCTGCTTAACCAAGCTGTTGCAGCAAGAAAAATCACCAACATGCCCAGCTACGTATACTCATGAGATGCCTCAAGGGATTGTCACCTAATATCAAGTTGAGGTTGCTGTGTAATCAGGATGCAAATGAAGGCATACTGCAAGCGTCCTTTCGGATTCGTACTGGTTTTCTTTTAAATGAACAGAACACGACAGTGATAGTAGCTCCTTCAAGGAAGTATTTAGTGAACGTTCAAATAATGACCTACAATTTCGCAAGTCTACATAATCTAAACCTGGAAAACCCTGAAATTAGGTCTCGGAGCCAGCTAGTTCTCCTTTTGTACTAAAGACATTACTTTGGGAGATTTCGAAGTGTTCGAGCTTCTTAGGACTTATTACTCCTAAAATGCGATGCGAGCAAGACCTTTGTGGGATATCAAGTCAAATACACTTTGGATTTTTATCTCCATAGAATTTACCATAACTATCAAATCACTGGACCACTAGCTTTGAACTCAGAAATGAAACAGTTGTAGTACTGATGTTGATACCTATCAGAGGACTGTTACTCCTATCCCTAACAGCTCGCCCCCCGGAGCTTCGTAATAGACAACTGTGCCCTCATCCCAGATATCGGGTAGAAATAAAAACGATAACTACGACGCATTTGTCTAAAGTTTATATTAGATTTCAAATTAGTAAATACATTGCGTAGATGAAGCAAATATATTCCTTTATGTTTAATATCATCCACAAGTATCGAAAAAGTTACTCCAACAAATCTTAAGTCAAGATTGACACGTTTAATTACCACTGTACGTTTTGTGTGGCGCATATATATTGGCGCTCTCTTGTACCAATATTTATGTGTTCAAATAAATAAATAAATACTGTACGTTTTAGCAACGAGTCAAAACAAAGACAGGCTCATAAATTGCGTATGGCATTGATCCTACTTATAAGGTTGTTCCAGTTTCGCTTTCATAAAAGCCAAATATGCAGCGTGGTAAAGCATTCAAGTTCCTACTTTGCTGAGAAAATAAAACGTTACTTTAGGTTATTGACTAAGCAATTTGGTAATGTGTGGTCGCGAGACAGAATTTCCAGGACCATTTCCAGGAAGTGCCAACGGCCAGTAACACAGCTCCGTATGTATGAAAATCTATGAATCTACAAGTTTTCGATTACTTGGTCGTATCAAATCTGAACTTACAGAATAGTTAGTGCTAGATAGAACAACACATATTAGGTACCACTTAATGTGAGCGTCAAATGTAGAGACGATATTGGTCTGCATATAAATAAGTAATCAGGATCCCCCCTATGTCTTCAAAACAATCCCAGTGTTTGTCTATAAAAGGATTGTGAAGTGAGAGCTAAGGGACGTCAGAAAACTACCTACTGAGAATGCTGGCCTCTTACAGACGGTACAAAAACAAAGGTTGACGGAATCTCATTCCCTTAAAATATATCACTTACGTTGGCAGGGACAATATTTCCGAGAGGCCTTGTCTGTGCACGAATACTGGACAGAGGTATCCGGACGGGCACTGGCAACTGTTGACCTACATAGATAGAAGATCACAGCAAAAGATTTGTCTTGTGCAAGTTGAAGTTACATAACTTAACAATAAAACAGAAACCTTGGAAAACAATGAGCAACTACATATTAAAATGCACAGATTAAACACCACAACATGTCTCGTAATCCCAACCTGCAGGCCGATCACCCATAACTTGAAGGCCGCGCACGTTGATCTAGCGCATCATTTAAAGCAAGTTAGTGAACCAAGTAAACTTAATGAAGCGCGATAGATGACCTAACTGAGTGTTTTTAAAAAATAATCGGTAGCTTTGTAGGTATTAGCATTATTCAGCTGTTTGGAGTTCTCCGGCTATACAAATCTGAATCTGAAAGTTATCCGATTCACTGGGATCACAAACAAATAAAAAAATGGTTCCACAACCATTTTGAACAATTTTTTTATTTGTTTGTGATCCCAGTGAATCGGATAACTTTCAGATTCAGATTTGTATAGTAAGAACAGAAGACATACGGCCTATGTTATTAATTTTCTAGTATCCTTCTGTAAGTGTCCAGTCTTCTCTTGAATGGGTCGATTGAAGGTGCGACACCACTGCTTCGGGTAACAGGTTCCGAGGATTGATGACTCGGTGTGAAAACCTGTACGTCACTGGTATTTTGTTCGTTCTAGGTTTTTTATACTCACCTACTATGCGCTCTGAAATGTCAAGATCTAGTGGGAAAAGGGAACATATTAGGCACGAAATCATTTCTTAGGATCTCGTACATCAAAATCAGATCACCTCTCAATCAGCGGTAGAACCGAGTAAAGAGATCTAGCTTCTCAAACTTTGCATGGTAAACCCCAAAGTCAGAACGCAGTTCTCAAGCTTAGTTCTCACTAAGGTTTTGTATACTGTAGTGAGCATGATGTTATCTAACTTGTTGAATGTCCATCGTAAAGCCAATAGGATTTTAAGCCCGTCAGCTGCAACCTCTCAGCATTAAGCTGTTGCCTTAAGATCACAGTTTACTGTCACCCCAAGATCCTTGTGAGACCAAACCACGGGTACAGGCACTTCTCCTATGCTGTACCTATTTATCTTTGTATTCCCAAAGTGCATATAGACAGTTTTCCGAGTTGATAATCATGAGCCACTCCTCAGTACAGTTAATCACTGTATTTTAGTCTGCCTGGAGTACGCATGTATCTGCATCTCCAGTTGTTACTCGCCAGATATTTACATCGTCAGCGTATAATAACATTAGGGAACGTACTATACTTGGGAAATCATTTTCATACAGTATAAGATGTAAAGGACCTAGGACGGAACCTTGAGATACTCCACTAAGTACTGGTCTCCAGATGGAGCACTTAGAATTTATTCTTACTTTCTGTCTATGACGTACTAAGAAATCAGTAAGCCATTTTAAGAGGATTCCGGCAATACCAAGATTTTCCAACCTCAATAGTAGTCTGTTTGTTGGCATCTAATCAAATGCCTTACTGAAGTCTATGTTGACAACATACACTGAGTTTCCGTTGCCTAGTCCTTTTATCTAATGCTCCCCTGCTATAAGGAGGTTTGTTGTGCAAGATAGACCCTTTATGGAACCATGTTGTTCATTGTTTAACAAGTTGTTGTTGTGCACAAATGTCATTATGATCTTTTTAACTATGCTTTACAATATTTTAACTACAACACTGGTGAGGCTGACAGGTCTGTAGTTCGTAGGAAGGTGTCTTGGTCTTGTTTTATGTATTGGAGTGACGGTTGCATTCTTTCAGTCCATAGATAACTCACCTTGGCAAAGTGATACACTGAATATCACAGTTAGGATGGCTGCACATATGTTTGAGTTACCTGATTGTGTAACTGCTTGATATGAGTCCATACCTTCTCCATTGATGCTCCTGAGTCAATTATATAATTTTCAGACGATGTTGTAAAGTTTGTCGTCCCCATTCCCGCCTTCCCTATGCTAGGACTGGCCGGCGCACCCGTTTTATAGACCATCTCAGTCATGAACTTGAATAAAATAAATGCATGATCACTTCTAGCTAGAGATGGGAGGAAAATCATTTGACTGACGTCATCATCGTATGTGAAGACTAAGTCCAAGAGAAACGAACAGCTTTGTAGTCACATCTGGTGGGAGCTGAAATATTGCTGGAATAGAGCTAGTGCAGTTGTGGTTTACAACAATCTGAGATCAAATGATGTTATTGATGACCCTGTTGAATTATGGCCTACTTTGTTATTAGTGTCAATACTACTGCAACCCTATTTCTAAGTTTCCCAAGTTTATATACGGTGCATTAAAGTCGCCTACTATAGAGCCTTTAGATCCATGAAATCAAAATACACAATGTTCAACATCGAACGAACTTGTTTAAAAAATTGCACGTTATTATTGTTATTATTAACGGCTTTATTCAATATTATATTTTGGTACAATATAGAATCCTCAGAAGAGGGTATTTCAACAAGTTAATCACGCCAAAAAAACAGTAACAAAGACAAAAAAGAGGGGGGAAAGGTTACAAAAATCTGAAAAAAAACTACAACTTTTCAAATTAGAGACATGTTAAGAATGCAGGTTATTGACTAGGTTAACTCTAACAACCTGTTCATCACAAAGTATATTTGCTAGGTAAGGTATTATAGAGGGGAGGCCGAATTAAAAACTTATGCACTGTTGAAGCGTTGGCAATCCATCAATTCAAGCCTGTGCAAAAACGATACGTCCAACCTCTCACTATTATTAATGGCTTTATTCAATATTATATTTTGGTACAATATAGAATTCTCAGAACAGGGTATTTCAACAAGTTTCTTACACGAAAAAAAAAATCTGAAAAAAACTGTACAACTTTTCGAATTAGAGACATTGTAGTAGCATTGGACCATAACCACACTATCCTCAAAGCTGAATACGAGATTACTCGGAAAATAGGTATTCAATATTTAACGCGAAGAAATACCTAACGATGGAGAAGGCGCGAATAATGAACTGAATAAATTAGAGTTGATCGAATGGCATGGCTCGGCCATGCAGGCGTGGTCCCTCTGAATGTTACCATATATCTTCTATTCATACCAAATATATTGTTCTTTCTCTAGCCTAACCTTGTTCTACATCATGTATTGGTAATTGATACGATACAGTGAGTTGGTGTAGTCGATGGTGTGACTTCCACGTAAGATCTTATAAATTAGGCAGTTATATCATGACATATCTACAAATTTAGGATTAGGTCTATTATTAGAGCAGTACTAATATCATAGTAGACCATAAAGTCATACATTGGTGAGCCCAACTAAAGAAACGCAACCTATAATTCTTAATCATTATTTCCACCTAAACCTTCTCAATCGGTTTTTATTTTTGTAAACCCAGTATTATAATAGTCCTTTGATGAATGGTCACATATATTATCGTAATGTTATATCTATTAGTTCACATAACTTACTAGCTCAATCGATAATAAAAGTTGATCATCTATATCAACTAATTAGCTTTGATGGTTCGTTAACAAGCTTTAATAGCATTTACCTGCTTCAGCGACATAAACTTGTTTAAACATCAAGCTCTAGCAAATATGACCTGTAAATAGCGTAAATATACATTGGCTAACAATGCAATCAAGGATTGAATAGTTATCTGGATCTAATTCTTAGTGTTTCTTCGCTTAACACCTCATCCTGTTTTAAACTATGCACTATCCTTTTCTTCCGACCACTGCCTGCCTAATTTCATATTCTCGAGTTCCATTGCCAAACAACAAGGATGACACTTCTCTAAAAACACGGTGAGTTTCAGCCATAAGTTTCCTGCAATCATAAGGTCATTTTAGATGGCTCGTTCAATGGCTGACACAATTATCTGGATTCATTCGATTGTTTTGATCCGAGCGAGTGGCAAAAACATCATCAGCATCAAGCACCCTGGAATTAATTGCCATACTGCATGTTTTATTGTGGATACTTTTGGATCATTACTCCTCACGAATGGCGTTATATATGTCGTCCACTGAATAATCTAATTTTCAAAAATATTCCAGGCGAGTTCAACTATTTCACTTAATGATTTTTCGTACCTAACATGTATATGTTTCCTAGCTGCTTTTGCCATATATTTGTAAGTGTCCCTAGGCTAAATGCAGTAACTTCTTATGGAATGTTTATAACGCGTCATATTCCTGCCTAAAGTTTCACAAGCAGTCTAAACTTTAAAATTACTTGTCTGGTCATGTTCATTATTTTTAAATCGTCATATACGTCAACAACCTGCATGTTAACCTGGTTCATACATACGTTACACTATATCTCCATGTCTTCTAAATTTAGAAATCATCTGGATCGCCTCTAACATTTATTAATAAACCCATCATAGTCGTTGTTGCTAATCCTATTTGGATTTATGGATTGGTTTATCATATTATCAGTCTAAAATGCAAACATAATTTAGATAATAAGATTAAAAATTTAGGTACTATCAACTGCACTAGTAAAATTACTAAATCCTCAGGTAGTTGTTGGTTGAACAAACTTTTAAAATCAAAACTCCGTAGCCTACTAGAATTAACATTAAACAAATATTTCTGAATTGAAAGTTATAATTAAATTAGGCGTCTCGGATTCTTTAACGTTATAAATTTCTGATAATTTTGAATCACCTAAAACAACAATGCCTATTTTTCCACTGGCCAATCTTCAATCAACACTATAACTAATTAAACATAATAGTTTCAGGATATCTTCATAAAGCATTGTCATGACTTGACAATCCCGTAATATGATTGATAAAATTAATGAAACTATTAACAAAATCGGTCAGCAAGTTGACTTATAATTATCACTAGTGTTGTTTTTCTTCATTCACTACAGATGATTACAGTATGTTTCTCTATCAGTTGCTCATTCAGTAAATATCTCAAAACTTTGTCAGTCTAATTGATGGTTTAGCGACACAATCATGCATGCAAATAATCAGTATAAGCAGTCGAGCAAATATCCTGCAAACTGAAAACATCAATGTCGAATTTACCCCAACACTGACTAAGGTTCAAGCTATTATCATAGGCATGAGTTGGGAGTGCACTCCCCTTGGTTACAACTTATGTTCTCCCTGATAATCACATGAGCATCACTCACTATTAATCATCTTGTAAAAAAATTATTTAGCCAAATACACCTTGCAGCACCACATCACTTAGTAATATGACACATA